ATATGTAGGTTTTAGATAAAATAAAATAAAATCTTATATTTATATAAAGCCTGGTTCAGTTTATGTGTCATCAAATAATGAGGTTTCATTCTGGTTTGAGGATTAGTCTACTTCATGTTATGCCAGTGTTTCAGAAGATACCACTAAAGTCATTAAAGTCTTTCCCATGCATCTAGAGCTGCAGTGACTGATTCTATAGCTACTAGGCACCCATGGCTATTAAAATTAACATTAAATTAAAATTCAGGTAGTAGCACTAGTCACATCTCAAGTGCTCAGGGGTCACAGGTGGCTGTTGGCTACTGTATTAGACATAATTAGACCACAGACAAAACAGCTCCATCATTGCAGAAAGTTCTACTGGATAGTGCTGTTCAAGAATATACTTGAAAGTAAGGGGCTAATAAATCAATTCATTCTAGAGCTTTAGTGGATAATACAGTTCACCACGGTTGCTCTTCTCCTGTCAGCATTGTTCATTTAGAGTTTAATAACCATCCCCTTTCATCTAAACATAAAAAGTACAATTTAAAGTGCTACCTCTGACCCATATATAAGGATACATGTATACTCTAGAGAAAAGCCTCTTTTCTATATATCTCCAGAAAAGTAGGGCTTAATTAGGAAGCCTGTTGAAAACGTGATGATGAAACTAAGTATTTTTACTGCAAATGATTTGCACTTTTGAGCTTCCTTTGTTAAGATAATCCAGTTGGTTTGAGTGTGAGCTTCTTTGCCACATGACATAAATATTCCCTAGGCGTTCACCCAAGAGGTTTGGAGTAAGTTCTAATAATTATCTTTATTTAAATGCTGAGCAGTTAATGTGTGCTACTTCTGTAGGCATGATATCATCAGTATTAACATTAAAGCCTCTAGTAATGACTGTTGTCAAGTAGATGGTCAGACAGGTTTGAGCCTCTCTCTTGCTTCAGGTCTGCATATTACAGACTGTCTAGGAGGTGAACCCACATGGTCCCGGGTATACGGCAACACCTAACTCAGGGAACTAGCAGCTTGGTGGAGAACAGGAGCCAGAGCATAGGACTGTTGGCATTCTAGAAATGTTTTTTATTCTCTAATGTGTGCTATGTATGACAGTGGCAGTTTTGGGTTTTCAAAACTCCCTGCACAAAAGTGTCGGATGGAACCTTCAGAGATGAAAGTGAAGAAGGGGGAGTGGGGGAGAGAGGTACAATTCTATGAATAGCCATGTGTGTGAACACAAGATAAGTTCTTTTAAGTCTTCACTGCTTTTAACATCATTTGCAAAGTTTCTAGGATTTAAATTTCATAAAACTTCTGCCTGTAATTAGCTTCTTTAACGTGTGTTTTTAATCTTCTTACACATGTTGGGAGGAAAAAAAAAAAAGCCAAGAATAATTATGCTTGTGGACAAGGATAAATATGCATTTAAGGCAACCAAAGCCAGTTAGGTACCCTAATTAGGGTGACAAGAGACCTGGTGAGCAACCAGGGATTTAATAAGTCTAATTACAACTTCTACAAACAGTTGCCATGCCATAGAGCATCAGTGTGGAAAGGTGCTTGTCTCTGAGAGTGTACAAACACAGGATAGTTTTCTCACACTTTGTAGTTATTCAGTACTCCAAGAGCTCTGAGTCTGACTTGGAGGGAAGTCTAGTGTGGCGTGAATTGACTGGTGTGGGCTGGCTAGAGGCCAGAAGTGCAAGGGCCTATCCAGGAGCCCTGTTAGGACTTCCTTCTGCCCTTCTTCTATGCTAAGGATGCGATCTTAACAGCTGACTACTATCCTGCTATGTGCCCCGTCTTGCCCACATTATTTCATGTAACACAATAATCCTGTGAAGGTAGCAATAGAGACAAGGAAACTGAGGCTCACAAAGGTTGTGACTTGTAGACAGTCACAAAGCTGGGAAGGGTGGGAGCCAGGATTCAAATGTCAGCTTAGCTAGTCCAAAGCCCATGCTCTTTTTCTCTGCTTTTTACCACCTCCCAATTATACGGATTGATACCTTAAAGGGCGCCTTTAGATACATACACATTTCATATACATATATAAAAGAAGGCCTTGAAATAAACAGTGTAATGCTGAACTACATATTCTTTTATTTTTTAAAAGATTTTACTATTTCATTTATTTGACAGAGAGAGAGAACATGAAAGAGGGAACACAAGCAGGGGGAGTGGGAGAGGGAGAAGCAGGCTTCCCACGGAGCAGGGAGCCCAATGTGGGGCTCCATCCCAGGACCCTGGGATCATGACCTGAGCTGAAGGCAGATGCTTAATGACTGAGCCACCCAGGTGCCTCTGAACTACATATTCTATTTTTATCTATTTGTCCTTGGGTTTTTAAAACTTATTCACCAGAAACGTGTAAAGTCCAAAATGTAAAACATAAAAGCAAGGAAGCCCTGGTTGAGCTGGGTAAGTACCAGGAGCCCTGACTCTTCATCCTCCCCTTTCTCCCCACCCCACTGTGGATTTTCTGGATCTCCTTATGCACAATGGGAAAATCATCTGCATCAGATGCTGAACTCCCTAAAAACAAAATTAAAGATGGCTTTTCATCTTTTTATCTAGGTGTGAATCATAATTCTTGGGTGAACAGATTCCCAACAAATATTTTTGAATGAAGAATGAATGCTGTTAATAATCATAATAAACCATAATTATCAGGGTAGGACCTTGTGGCTTCCCTTGCTGTGGGAGCCCAAGATTCACAGAGATGACTATTGGGAGTTTTCCTAAAGCCGGGTTCACAGTCTTTCTGGTTATCCCCTGTACTTCTTGATCAGGTTTTTCATTAAAATATGTGGTTGTTAATAAGGTTATTAAAATTAAACAAGAACTGACCAGGGGCGCCTGGGTGGCTCAGTCGGTTCAGTGTTTGCTTTTGGCTCAGGTCATGATCCCAGGGTCCTGGGATTGAGTCCCACATCGGGCTCCCTGCTCAGTGGGGAGTCTACTTGTCCCTCTGCCTGACGCTCCCCCTGCTTGTGCTCAATCTCTCTCTCTCTCTGACAAATAAATTAAAAAATAAAATCTTAAAAAAAAAACCTGGGGCGCCTGGGTGGCTCAGTCATTAGGCGTCTACCTTCGGCTCAGGTCATGATCCTGGCGTCCCAGGATCGAGTCCCGCATCGGGCTCCCTGCTCAGCAGGGAGTCTGCTTCTTCCTCTGACCCTCCTCCCTCTCATGCTCTCTCTCTATTATTCTCTCTCAATAAATAAATAAAAATCTTTAAAAATAAATAAATAAATAAAATCTTAAAAAAAAAACTGACCAAATGGAATCCAGATTCTAACTTATTCTTTATTTATTTATTTTTTAAGATTTTATTTATTTATTTGACAGAGACACAGCGAGAGCAGGAACACAAGCAGGGGGAGTGGGAGAGGGAGAAGCAGGCTTCCCGCCGAGCAAGGAGCCTGATCCTGGGATCATGACCTGAGCCGAAGGCAGATGCTTAACCAACTGAGCCAACCAGGCACCCCTAACTTATTCTTTTTTTAAAACCAATATTTAGTGAACACACTTCTTTCTCTCTCTTCATTTCTTTCCCCTCCGTTTTCCCTCCCTTTTTTCCTTTCCATTCTTTTCTCTTTCCTTTTTTTCCACATAGCCTCACGTGTGGCAAACTATGCCCAGGCACTATGCTGCCGAGAATGGATGGATCAGCTCATTAATCATCATAGAACTGCAGATCAAAACCATGATGAGATACCACCTCACAACTGTTAGGATGGCTATCCTCAAACAGCCAAAAGATAGAAAGTATTGGTGAGGATGTGGAGAAAAGGGAACCCTTATGCACTGTTGGTGGGGATGCAAATTAGTGCAGCCACTGTGGAAAACAGTATGGAGGTTCCTTAAAAAACTAAAATAGGACTACTGTATGATCCAGCATTCCTATTTCTGGGCATATATCTGAAGGAAATAAAATCACTGTCTCAGATACTTGCCCTCCCTTATTCATAGCAGCATTATTTACAGTAACCTACCTGTCCAGCAATATGTGAATGGATAAATAAAATGTGTGTGTGTTGGGGGAGGGGGGATGTATGTGTGTGCACACATGCATATACACACAATCTAATATTATTTAGCCTTTAAAAAAAGGAAAATCTGGGACACATGGATGGCTCACTCGGGTGAGCATCCAGCTTTTGATTTAGGCTCAGGTCATGATCTCAGGGTCCTGGTCTGGAGCTCCAAGTCTGGCTCTGGGCTCAGTGAGGAGTCTGTTTGAGGATTCTCTCTTTCTCTCTCTCCCTCTGCCCCTACCCTCCCCCCTTGCTCACATTCTCTCTCTCTCTCTTTCAAATAAAAAAATAATAAATCTTAAAAAAAAGGAAAATCCTGGGATACCTGGCTGGTTCAGTCAGTAAAGCATCTGACTCTTGATCTCAGGGTCATGAGTTCAAGCCCCACGTTGGGTGTAGGGATTGCTTTAAAATATGAACAAGTAAAATAAAATCTAAAAAGCAGAAAATCCTGCATTTGGGAAAACATCGATGAACCTGGAGGATGTCATGCTAAGTGAAATAAATCAGACACAAAAAGATAAACACCACGTAATCTCACTCATGTTGAATCCAAAAAAGGCAAACTCACAGTAACAGATAGTAAAATGGTCATTACCAGGGGCTGGGGGTTGGGGGGAAAAGGTAAATGTTGGTCAAAAGGTAGATGTTCATTATAAGATAAATAAGTTCTGGAGACCAAAATGTACAGCATGGTGACTATAGTTAACAAAAATGTAGCATGTACTTGAAACTTGCGAAGAAAATAGATCTTAAGTGTTCTTACCACTCACACACAATGATAACTATGTGGTTATCATTGTGGTCATTATTTCACAGTGTATACATAGATCAAAACATCACGTTAAACACCTTACATATAATTTTTATTTGTCAATCATACCTCAGTAAAGCTGGGTAGGAAAAAAGAACATTCTTTTTTGTCTTATCAAGCAATGCATCTTGTGTCACTTTAAGAAATATATTACATACCTTTTTTGTTGTCAGAAGTGGCATGATGAAATGGAAATGAGAATTTGACACCTTTCGATTGTTCACACTCTTTTTTCAAAACAGTTGAAGAATGGGTGATACGAATATGTTGGTTGGTTTCTCTCTCTGGTGGACTCAAAAACTGTGGGTAATCATCAATCTGAAAAAAATATAATTAATTAAACTAATTGAGAACAAATATAACTGTTTACCCTATGATAATAAATCCCCTAAAGCTTAGGGCAAGTTTATTTTATTTTTAAGATTTTATTTATTTATTTGAGAGAGAATGAGAGAAAGAGAGCACGAGAAGTGAGAGGGTCAGAGGGAGAGGGAAAAGCAGACTCCCCACTGAGCATGAAGCCCAATGTGGGGCTCGATCCTGGGGGCTTGATCCTAGGGCTCAGGGATCATGACCTGAGCCCAAGGCAGATGCTCAACCAACTGAGCCACCCAGGCGCCCCTTAGGGCAAGTTTAAACTGCATTCTTTTTATTTTTTTCCTGGGAAGTCTTTCCTCTTGTCAGGTTTCTCAGTTTTCCTCAATTTGTTTTAGTCTTTACTGAAAATGCGTTTAGCAACAGATTCCAAGAAACTATTTACACTTACACTATAGAATTGCTAAATAAATAGTAATAGTGTTTTTGTTTGTTAAAATATATCCCTCCCCCTTTCATTTTGAAAATAGATTTTTTTAAAAGGTCTTAAAAATGTTTGATTAATGGGTTTAAGCTAGGATTTTTCTATGCAATAGAAAATGTCCATTTGCGGGGAACAGTGTACAAAGATTCTGTGAATACAAACATCTAGGTTTGAATTATTGGAAGTTTCCTGCTGCTAAATAGCTTTCTCTTCTCTCCAAAGTGCTGTGTTTTCTATTCTTGATTAAAAAGAGACAAAGTCTCGAGGCGCCTGGGTGGTTCAGTCGTTAAGCGCTTGCCTTCCGCTCAGGTTGTGATCCCGGGGTCCTGGCCCGCATCGGGCTCCCTGCTCGGCGGGAAGCCTGCTTCTCCCTCTCCCACTCCCCCTGCTTGTGTTCCCTCTCTCGCTGTGTCTCTCTCTGTCAAATAAATAAATAAAATCTTTAAAAAAAATAAGTAAATAAAATCTTAAAAATAAAATATAATAAATAAATGAAATAAAAAGAGACAAATTCTCAATAAATACTTAGGATTTTTTTTTCTTTAAGTAGGCTCCACACCCAGCATGGAGCCCAATGCAGGGCTTGAACTCATAACCCCAGGATCAAGACCTGACCTGAAACCAAGAGTTGGACGCTTAACTAAGCCACCCACACACCCCAATACTTAGGATTTTTAGATCTTTAACAATCTACTTCCCTTTTTATGACAGGTAGGCAGCAATAGCATCTGACTGAAAAGCCAAGAGTAAAGCTAGAGAATCACCAGAGGCGTCTTTGAAACCTTTAATCCAAGCATCAGGAGGAATACCTCTGTTGGCTTTTTGCAAAGTTACTTAGAATTTGGATAAAAATATTTCCTGTGATCATCCAGTTTCATCATTCTCTTTTCACAAATATATGAAGGAAATATCAAATAATAATAATATTTTAAAAATCTAATTCAGGGGAATTAAAGATAGGAAGATAAATTAATAAAAAGCTATCAGGATCTACTAAAATTTAATTTTTAAAATTATTTTCAAATACATAGAGTAATTCAAACCAAGCTAATGAAGCATAGCCCAGTGCAGGTATTAAAAAGGATGTGCTTTTGTTAATAATAAAAGCTTATAGTTAGTAAAGGATCCTCTTCTGAACAAGATTCTTCAGAAAAGTCTTAAGCTATTTGATACCTGCAAAGATATGCTTATAAAATTAGAATCCTATTATACATACGGCTAAGGTTTTTGTTTGCTTTGTGTAACTCTGTATTATATTTTTCTCTTGCCTTTGTCAGGAAAAATTATGAAAGACTTTGAAATTGGCAAAAAAGATGGTCTAGATGTTTTCCATCATTTATTGTCTTTGAGCTGTTTTAAAACATTGTAAGTGGGGGCGCCTGGGTGTCTCAGTTAGTTAAGCGACCAACTCCTGATTTCGGCTCAGGCATGATGGCAAGGTTGTGAGATGGAGCCCCATGGCAGGCTCTGCGCTCAGCAGGGGGTCTGCTTGAGAGCCTCTCCTTCTCCCTCTGCCCCTCCCCCCACTCGAGCGTGTGCTCTCTGTCTCTTTCTCTGTCTCTCTCTAAAATAAATAAATAAATCTTTAAAACACTTTAAGTTGTGGGGATGCCTGGCTCTCTCAGTCGGTAGAGCATGTAACTCTTAATTATGGGGTTGTAAATTTGAGCCCCACGTTGGGTGTAGAGATTACTTAAAAATACATAAAGAAAAGAAAACACTGTAAGTTGTAGAAAACTGGTAATAGTGAAATTTTTCTTTTTAAGATTTTATTTATTTATTTGACACAGAGAGAGAGAGAGATCACAAGTAAGCAGACAGGCAGGCAGAGGGAGAAGCAACCTCCCCGCCCCTAGCAGGGGGCCCGATGCGGGGCTGGAACCCAGGACCCTGGGATCATGACCTGAGCCGAAGGCAGACATTTAACCGAGTGAGCCACCCAGGTGCCCTGTATATAAATAAATCTTTAAAAAAAAAATGTTGTTACAATCTCGGCACATTTTGTATATATGTATACATAATATATAGTAATTATATATTGTATTTCAGTATTATTATGTTATATTAAAGACTTTATCCATATAAAAATTATGTTCATTTATTTTTACATATCAGATGTAACTTTTTTTTTTAAGATTTTATTATTTGAGAGAGAGAGAGCATGAGCAGGGGGAAGAGGCAGAGGCCAAAGGAGAGCCAGAGGGAGAGGGAGAAGCAGACTCCCCACTGAGCAGGGAGCCCCAGGCAGGGATCCATCCCAGGACCCTGGGATCATTACCTGAGCCCAAGGCAGACACTTAATGACTGAGCCACCCAGGTGCCCTCAGACATAACTTTTATTGCTGTCTTTAAAAATAGGCTTTGTCACTATCCTTAGAGACATTTTGTCTAATTTTTTGCAATGGCTGTATTACCTTTGTTTTGCATGCCATAGGAACAACCAAATTTTCTAGTCAGTTGCCTATTTTTAATATGAAACTTCATCAGACCTGTCACATTTGAAAGTTCTCAATAATAAACCAACCACAGTCATCTGAAGTCTCTGTCTTCTACAGATAGTTTTTGTTTTATTGTGATGCTTGCTTGAAGGTTCTATTCTAAGATATAAAAGTCAGTTTGAGTCCTCAACAAAGGACAGTCTCAGAGCAGAGCCTCCTGGAAAAAGGATTGAGACAGGCTCTTCAAAATATTAACACTTCAGAGCTGAGCTAACATTACTTAGACAACTCAGACTACACCAGTGGACTGAGTTAGGATTTCCAAGACTCCATTAGGTCAAGAAGCAGGTGGTTTCATGAGACTCCTAACCCAAAATGTCCCAGAACGAGATTTAACTTTATAGGACTAAATGAAACTGATAGAAATTTATTGTGGTGATTTGCTTAGGATATTATTGATGTTTTGGGCGCCTGGGTGGCTCAGTTGGTTGAGCGACTGCCTTCGGCTCAGATCATGATCCTGGAGTCCCTGGATCGAGTCCCGCATCGGGGTCCCTGCTTGGCGAGGAGCCTGCTTCTCCCTCTAACCCTCCCCCCTCTCATGTACTCTCTCTCTCTCAAATAAATAAATACATCTTTAAAAAAAAAAAGAATATTATTGATGTTTTAATGTTCTATTTTCTAGATATATGAGGAAGCTTTTTATCCTCGTTCTTAAATTATAACCAGTGTGTAACCCATAACAATTTAGATTCTGTCTCATAAACCAAAAATGTTTAAATATCTAATTTTCACTGGCTCCCCCAGAATTCAGAAACTCTTATTAGATTCAGTAAAGATCTGACTTCCTTTTACCAGGATATAATTGTACACACTGGTTGTATATCCAAGGCCTTATGTGAAGTGTCTTATTTAAGAAGAATATTCATCTGGGGTGCCTGGGTGGCTCAGTTGATGAAGCATCGGACTCTTGATTTCAGCTCAGATCATGATCTCAGGGTCATGGGATTGAGCCCAGCATCAGGCTCTGTGCTCAGCAGGAAGTCTGCTTAGGACTGTTTTTCTCCCTGTGCCCTGCCCCACTGACCATGCACACGCGCACTCTCTCTCTCTAAAAATAAATAAATAAATCTTTAAAAAGGGGGGATATTCATTTAACCAGATATAGCAAACCATTTTAAGGGGCAAAGGTTTGGTGTATTTATGGGGCCAGTGCTTATTAGGAAGATCACTTCTGGTAGGCCAGCAATTAAGAAATTTTCAGGACCTCAAAATTCACTCAAATTGATAGGTACTACAGGAGAAATCTGGTGGACAGAGTTTCTTGGGCCTGATTTTCTAGCTTAGGGAAAGCAAATAATAGAGGCTTTTAAACCTTACATTCCTAAAAAGCTTCCAGACAGAAGTTTTTGCAAATAATTTTTTTTTCTAGTGAGTAAAGCAATAGAAGTTTATTAAGTGAAGATACAGAAAAAGCTCTCAGGAGTGAGAGGGGTCCCGACAGGGTTGCCAACGAGGGCCTTCAGGGTTGGTCTTTTATAGAAAGCTAACCAGGGAATTTAAATCCTTTTAACGTCTCTATTGATAACACCTTCAATGGCTTACTTCCTTTTTAGGGTCTAGTTATTCTTTGTTGGTCACAGTAATTATCGTAAAGACACCCACCCCACTCACCTAGGGCAGGGTGGTCCAGTAAGTCCCCTTATCTCTGGTTTCCCCACACCTCCACATTTTTGGGATTTCTGTGAGCCTGATAACATTGCCCCTATCTATCTCTCCCTACCTAGCCCCGCCTGCCCCTTACTCATTCCTCCCCCTGGAATAGTAACCCTAACTGCCGTTAGGTAATGGGACGATGACCGCTCCGGGTGCTTCCTCCTGAAATGGGGCGGCGGACTGTGTGGCAGTTAGAATCTCTCCAGGGGTCAGTCCAGGGACTTGTGGTATGGCTCCGGCGGGGTCATGATGGGCAGCAAACAGTACATGTATCAGCACATGCAATAGGATGAACATGAAACAAGTATTAGGCCCAAAATTATGATCACATCCCTTAGATAAGATCCCCAAGTACCAATTTTGTTAAATAGATCAGTGGATATCATGATCTTATTTAATTGATCACAGATGTCCCCTATTAATTGGGACACCTTGCAGGAGTTAACTGTAATGTTAAAACGACACATGTGAGGGGATTTTTCACACCCCTAATGGTGTAGCAACAGTAGTCAGTCAGTAGTGGCATGGTTCTCGAGAAGTCCTTCTCTGACTTCATTTAATTCTTGGCTGAGTGTATCCAGTGCCTGGGTATCATTTAGAGTCCTGCTGAGCAAGCATACTGTTTTGCTTACTTTATATTGCAGTCCTATCGTAAGTCCTGGAAGTCCCATAGTGAGCTCTGAGGCTCTTTTTACCAGGAGAGCTCTTGTATGCTTGGGTTAAAGACTTTGTTTGCAACTGTATGTCAGTAGAGGTGTCTTCTAGGATAAATGACTATGAGGGATGAAACCATCAAGAAGCCCTTTTTGTTTGAGGTCCAGCCTTAACAATATCCTAATTACAAGGAATCACTGGCAAATGAGAGATTTGTCTCAGGAGATAAGGGCATCCCCAAGTGCATCATCCAATCTAATCATAAAGAAAGTGTGGGGGTCCCTGGGTGGCCCATTCGTTAAGCGTCTGCCTTCAGCTCAGGTCACGATCCCAAGGTCCTGGGATCGAGCCCCA